AAGCGGAAAATTCCACTACCGGGTTTTCTCCTTTGCATCCTCGCTGGGGCCTCCTCCCCTGCAACCTTTCCCAGGCAGCTGCCACCCTCATAAATCACCTGTAGCAATTAGTGTACCAGGCTGCAAAGTGGCTCAGGACCTTGCCTCACTAAAGTTAACCCTGTTGTAACCGTGCCCCTCCCCCTTAAGCAGAGTGTATAAAAGACTGCAATGCTCTTTGTCTGGTGCTCAGAATTTGGGAGGAAAAATCCCCCTCTGAGCCCGCCGGTGTATAAACCTGTTTTGCCAATATTTCTGTGTGTGCGTCGGCCTATTCCTGGTCATCTCTGCTGTAACAAGACCAAGCCCGGATCTGGAGGCAGCTGCCCTCCCCTAACCCCGAGGAGGCTGGAGACTTGGAGGAACGTCACCTTCACCACGGTCTGACTCTCTGAGGGACAGAGGGGAGGACTCTGGAGGGATGGCAGGGGCTTACCCAAGTGTGCACGCTGCGTGTGGCTGTGTCAGCCCAGCCTGGGTGCAGGCCCTGACTGCTGGGCACAGGGCACAGTCTGTGGCTTCCTCGTGGCCTGGGTGGGGGCTGAATGTGCCAGCCAGGCACAGGAGGGGGCGGGTAGTTCTGTTGAGCAGAAGTGTCCTGCAGGCCATGGCAGAAACAGACTGAGAACTGAGGGGAGAATAGTTCTTCTCTCAAAAGAAGCAGTAAAAAGAAAAGCGGCAAATGCTCCCCAGGTCTTGGCCACACCTGACGCTCAGTGGTCCGGGAGTGCAGGAGCCGCCACCACCCCCAGTGGCCAGGAAGGGGCCTGAGGGGCAGGGCAGGGCCTTCCCCTGCTCAGGGGCTGGTGGTCCCATTGCCAGCTCTGTGCTCACTACTGTGGCCTTTGGGGAGTTTCCGCTGTTCCACTCAGCACAGCCCAGGCGTGGCTGTGCTGGGGAGACCCCAGTGTCACAAGCTGCCATTTTCCTCTCCACAAAATGGGGATCATAACGGCACCTCCTCCCAGGCTTGCTGCCAGGACTGCAAATGACGTAGGCTGGTGTGCCAGGGCTCCACACAGTGCTGGGCACTCGGCAAGCCTCCGCGTGTGCCAGTCTCACTCCATCGCACAGGGAGAAGGCGGCTTCAGGCTGCCCACCTCGCACCAGGTCTGCATCCACCCGCCCCGCGGGCCTGCTTGTGTCCCCCGCTCTGCCGTGCCTGGGGAAACTGCCGGCCTGGCTCTGCCCTCCACTGGCAGCTGGCGTCTGACAGCAGGGGTGCTGCAGCGCAGCGTGGCCCCCCACTCTCCCACTGCCGGGATCCCCAAAGGAAATGGCCCCTCCCTAGCCAGGAGGCCCGGGTTGGCCCTGCACTGCAGGGACTAGCCCCGGGGTGAGGCCTTGGCCTTGGCATGCCAAGGAGGTGTCAGCCTTGGGTAGGCAGCGGGCTCTGCACAACTCCGAGAAATGACCCAGGGGGTTGGTGGTGTCACAACTTCAGGGAAAAGTGGCTGAGAGAGCCCATCACAGAAATCTGTTTCCTTGGACCATTTACCCAGGACTAGCCCTGTCCCTCGGTGAGGGTCTTAGAATTGTCCGAAGTGGAGGCCCTTGAGGGGTTGTCCCTGGTATCTTTCTCTTCCTTCCAAAGCCTGCCCAGCATGCGTCTCTTGCAGGGTGGGGGGGTTTCTGGGTCCTGGGGGTTGGTACAGAGTAATGGGATAGACGGGAATTTGCCTGGAACATCACACTCTGGTGTGACCCACTGTTTAGCCGACCTCTGGCACTCAGGGAGGATCAGGAGTCCCAGCTCCTGGGGTGCCAGGCAGTGCTACCCAAGCTCACATGGTAGGACCCCTTGGCCCAGGGCCCACATCCAGTGAGTGCATAGCCCCACCCCATGGTGGCCGCCAGGGCAGACCTGCACTGGGCCAGAGACCCAGAATGTCAGAGCTGGGAGGGGCCTCAAAGGCCACCTGGCCAGGGCCGTGGTGAGTGAACGAGCCCAGAGCTGTCACTGGCTGGGGCAAATGGGAGTGAAGTGGGAAGATGCTCGTGGCTGCTTCTGTTCTCCATTAATGCTACAACAAGAGGCACAGTCCCCACTGAATAATCACCTCTGTTCACACAGTAGCCTAGGAATGAACACTTTGCATGTGGTCATTTTCTATCAATCCTAAAGAGTGCCATAAGACCAAGAAATTGACCACGCAATCTCTACAGGCAGTAAGAGGACAACAAATCTCTTGCACATTTGATGCTTTTGTTAAAATTTTTATTTTGCCTTTTAGCATGGGGTTTCATTAAACTGTTTACACTTGTTCTGCTGCTCAACCCACTGGTCCAGCTCCGGGGTGAACACCTTGTCGTCCATGGCAGCCCAGTCCCCCTTCCCCTCCCCACTCCTCGCTCCAAGGGTGCTGCTCCCCTCTCCCGCTGCTGCCAGCTCCCAGCCCGACAGCTAGCTCTTACCAAAAACCTACAGCTAACTCACACTTATTGGTGAAAGACAATGTTTTTCCCCTCAGATTGGAGACAAGGCAGAGATATCTGCTCTCACCACTCCTATTCAACAAAGCACTGATAATTCTGGCCAGCACAATTAGGCAAGAAAAAAAGGCATACAGATTAGAAAGGAAGAAACAAAACTGTCCCTATTTGCAGGTTACATGATTGTTTATGTAGTAAAATACTAGGGAATCTATAGAAATCTTGTAGAAATAATAAATAGTTTCAGCAAGTTCACAGGATAAAAGATCTACAGTCTAAAACCCATCACATTTCTCTGTAATAACGAATATGTTGAAACTGAAATTAAAAGTGCAATACCTTTACAATTGCTCCAAAGAAAATGAAATACTTAAGCATAAATCTGACAAAACTTACACAGAATCTGTAGGATGAAGATAACAAAATGTTGATGAAAGTAATGAAGAAAGAACTAAATAAATTCATAGACATGCGTTGTTCATGGTTTGGAAGACTCACCATAGCAAAAATGTAGTTCCCTCTGAATTGATCTATAGAGTTAATGAAATTCTTATCAAAACCCCAGCAAGACTTTTGTGCACATAGTTAGGCTTATTTTTAAATTTATATGAAAAATCACAGACCCTAGAATAGCTAAAATACTTATCGAAAAAGAATAAAGCACATGGATGAGTCCACTAGACAGTAAGGTTTGGTGCAGGTACAGTAATCGGACAGAGTGATGTTGGTGGAGACGTGGACACACAGATCAGTGGTACAGAATAAAGAACCCAGAAATGAACTCACGCAAATATGCCTCATTCTTGACAAAGATACAAAAGCAACTGAAGGAGGGAGGATTTGTCTTTTCAACAGATAGTACCAGAGAAAACAGTCATCCATAGGCTAAAACATCTCAACCTAAACCTCATCTCTTATACATGGATTAACCCCAAATGGATCACACTTAAATATAAAATGTAATATTATAAACCTTTCAGGAATAAAAATCCTAGACGAAAATCTTTGGGATCTCGGGCTAAAATTCTTGGTTCTTATATTTATATGTGCCTTTTAGCAAATTTTTATTTTCAGTAATAGATTACTTATATTTTTATCACACTGTGATCTTTTCCCTACTAAAGAGGAGTCCTTTTACACCTGTCTATAATTTTTCGACTGCATTTTTAGGTCTGCATAACAGCACTGAGTTTGAGCAGTCACAGCATCCCAGTGGTCTCAGCTAGCCAAGCTATCAGAGAACCAGGCCCAGTTAGAGTCACCTGCATGAACCGAAGACTCTACTAAGCCAGAGGCTTTGCTTCAGGCAGCAAAGTGGGGGATGCATTTCCCTTGTAAGGGATCGCTGTTATAATACTATTTCATGCTGTTCCTGGCCCCAGAATAGCTTCACTCCGCAATCGTGAACATACCATTTTCATTTCACCAGTGAGGCTTGTTGAGTCCTTTTCATTTTGTTAATTGCTGCATCTAAGATGACACACCCCCAAACTGAAACTTTAGGCCAGAGGCCTCTACTCATGTCAGAGGTGTCTAGTGTATAAAAGAGCCCAAGAGTAAATTAATAGCTGCTTTTTAAAAGCCGTGAACCTGGTAACCTTTCCAGGGTATCAAGTCCAGCCTCGCCTCCTCTACTACTAAGGACTGCCTGTTTGCCAGAAGTCTCAAACGACAAAATAATCACTCAGAGATCTGAAGCCCAAAATGATAATCAGGGCTGTGGGACATCTAAGTTACCTTCTTGACATGCAACTCTTCCTGACTGGGAGAGTTCCCTCTATGACTTAAGGCAGAGTACAGCATAGTATTACTTCCTACTATACTTTCAGATGTAAAGTAACAAAAAGGGCCTCATCCATGACATTATATTTGTTTTCCTTCCCTACTGGGAACCCCAGCCAAATCTCATTAGCTAAATCTACGTCTCCCCTGCACTCACGTTAAAGCATGGCACCTAAGGTCGTCCTAGAAATCATATCCATTTTATTCTGGTAGTTTGTCAGGGAAGTCTTTTATTTTACAGAACTGGATGCGGTATACATCATAGGCATCCACATTCCAGTAACCACTCACAAAGATCCACTTAGAAGAAAGGAACATTGGGATTTAGACTAGTTATATGCCCATAGAGAAAATGAAATTGTTAACGGTGAACAAACTACCAGCTTGTGTGATATGTGAGGTTATCTAATAGAGTATGACTTCATTCAGAAGCACTTTGCATAGTTCCTTGAAAGAAACAGAAGCTTTTGTGAATTCTTTGATGTACTCTTTGTCTTTTGGACAAAATTTTTCCTACATTCATACTCACATAGTTTCTGTCTTTTGTGAATTCTCTGATGTACTGTGAGGGTTGATTTCTGGGACTGTTTTCTTACACTATCTTCAACTGGTTTTTCTTGTAGCTCTGATATTACATGGGGTGTTCTTTTTGTCAGAAAGATTTTCCAGTTATTACATCAATAAGGCTTTTCCCTCTCCCTGAATTCTCTGACATACATTTAGGGATGACTTCTTATATAATTTCCCATATTCACTGCATTCATTTCTCCCCACTGTGAGTTATCTGATGTATTCTAAAGTTTGATTTCTGGCCAAAAGTTTTCCCACATTTATTACGTTGAAAGGGTTTCTCCCCTGTATGAATTCTCTGATGATCACTAAGGATTGCCTTCCGGACAAATTTTTTCCCACATTCGTCACATTTAAATGGTTTCTCCCCAGTGTGAATTCTCTGATGCACTCTGAGGGTTGATGTCCGGGCAAAAGTTTTCCCACATTCGTTACATTTAAATGGTTTCTCTCCCGTGTGGGTTTTCTGATGTTGAATGAGATGGTCTTTTCGCCAGAAAGATTTTTCACATTCATTGCACTGGTAAGTTTTCTCCCCACTGTGAGTTCTCTGATGTATTCTGAGGTTTGACTTCTGGCCAAAAGGTTTTCCACATTCATTACATTGAAAGGATTTCTCCCCTGTATGAATTCTATGGTGATCTCTGAGGGTTGACTTCTGAACAAAGGTTTTTCCACATTCACAACACTCATAGGGTTTCTCTCCTGTGTGAATTCTTTGATGTCCCCTGAGGGTTGACTTCTGGACAAATGTTTTCCCACAGTCATTACATTTATAGGGTTTCTCTGCTGTGTGAATTCTCTGGTGTGTACTGAGGTGTGACTTCTGGGAGAAAGTTTTTCCACATTCATTACATTCAAATGGTTTCTCTCCTGTGTGAGTTCTCTGATGCTGAATGAGATGTCCTTTCTGACAGAAAGATTTTCCACATTCGTTACATTTATAGGGTTTTACCTCTGAGTGAGTTCTATGGCGTACTTTGTGGACTGATGTTTGGTAGGATTTCTTATCATGATATTCAAAGGAGTTATTCCCAGTTTCTTTTCTGTCATTACATACCAATGGATTCTCTTCTGTGACAGTTTTCTGAGGTCGAGTGAGGTGGGATTTCCTGTTGAAATTATTTCCGCTTGCATTACATTCATAATGTTTCACAGGCATGTTAAATTTATTGTATTCTTTCACAGCTGAATTCTGAAAGGATTTCCCATTTTGGTTAAGAGGAGGGTATTTCTCCCCTGTGCAAGTTCTGCTGTGGTCAAAAAGAATTGTCTTATCACAGTTTTCCCTAAATTCATCACCTTTACAGGATTTTTCTCCTGTGTGAGAATTCTTATGTTTAACATAGTTGGCCTTACCATTAAAGGCTTTCCCAATTTCATTACATTCAAAAGTTTGCTCCAAAGTTTGAAATTTCTGATGATCAGGAAGATTTTCATTATAACTGAGAGCTTTCATGTTTTTACTATATTCATAAAATTTCTCTCCAGTCTGAGTTTTCTCAAACTTAATTTTGAAAGGCAAATTCTCACATACATTATGGCAACCTAGCTTCTTTGCTGAATGCTTTCTATTATTAATGATAAATTCAGAAATAGTTCTCAAATTTATTCCCCATGAGTCACATTTGCAGGATATTTTTGTTGAAGAAACAGGAGCTATATGCAGATTAAAAGGTTTTCCCAAAATTTCCTCTTCCTCTTCCTCTCTAGTCAATGTTTTATTTTTGGTGAGTATTACTTGCTGCAAGTGTTTTTCTTTGATTTTCTTGTTCTTCTTGTTCAGGTCATCATCTCTGCAATGTTCTAAAACTGAGAAAAATTGAAAACATCTTATTAATCTTACATCTCTTATTGGTGGGGCTTATAGTCACAGCCTATGTTGCACTTCGTTCTTTGGTTTATCAAGATTAAATCATTCATATATGTGTGTTTGAATATATATGCCTCCAACCTCACTCTTTTAAAAAACAGTATTAATATAGAGCAAATGGGAAAGGAAACTGATAATAAATATATATCTGTATTTGGCATGTGAACAATAAGATTTTCGTATCTGGGTGGATAAAGGAAAGAAAAGGAAAATAAAAATTATAGTTTTATAGGAGTGGTTATTTCACGGAGCAGGAAAATCAGAGAATAGGATGAATGCAACTAAGACTGTAGAATAACAAGAAAAATTGGAAAATAATAGTTTTCATGGAATAGGCCCAATAGGGAAAGGGTTTGGTTTAAGGGAATAAATTACCATCTAGGTCCTGATATTATCTAGATTATAATGGTTAGAATACTCAATTATCTACATTCCTGCAATTTTATATCCCTCATCAATTCTTCAACATCAAATTAAATTTATAACAGCACCAACTTCCTTATGAATAAATGAAAAAGTTTATAGTTCAGGTGCTAACCTATCTTACAGCTGTGATTCACAGAAATATAAACAAGTATAAAACTGATGAAATGACCATCCCATCCTAAGTTTCCACATTTCAATCTGACAGGAGGAGTACAATTTTAAATGGGGTACCATGGAAGGCCTTACTGTAAAGATGACATTTAAGAAATTCCTGAATTCTTTATGCATTCTAAATGCCTTCTTACAGGTTATACTGCAAATATTATCGGTCACCTGTAGCTTACTGCTTAACATTTTAAGTATGAAGTAATATATATCTACATAAAACTTTCATGTGTAACTTAATAGTACCCAGTGAACACTCATGGAATCAGAAACCATGTTAAGAAACAGAACACAAATGACTCTACAAAAATCCCAATTTATCCCTACCAGGTTATAACTTCTTTATGCTTAGAGTTTACCACTCTCCTCATATTTATGCAATCATTTCCTTGATTTTCTTTATACTTTTACCACCAATATTTGAATTCCTAAAAATGTAATTGAATTTTGCCTGTTTCTGACTTTTACATAAATGTAACCAGGTATGCATATTGTATCTTTTGTTTTTTTTTGCTTAATATTATGTTTGTAAGCACTGTCTAATATTTTATGCAGCTCTATAATTCTCCCTTAAAGAATACAACTATTTCTCCATTCTACTGCTGATGAGGCCAATTTTTGACAAATATAAACAATATTGCCATTAATATTCTGTTATGCATTCTAGAGAATAAAATCCAACTTCTTGCAGGGAATATGGTTAAAAAAGCAACTGCTTAGTTATAATGTATGCAAAATGTTACCTTTATTAGAAAACCCTCCTGACATCACAGTGGTTTTACCAGTTACTGGTATTTTCCATGTTTCCAGTTAGTGGATAAGGGTCTGTAACATTCCACGTCCTCACCAGGATTTAGCATTGCCAGATTTGTTAATCTCACTTCATACTAGATCTCTCATTTTACTTCATACCTTACTTCCTATTTTATTTTGCATGCCACGAAAGCTAATGAGATTGAACACATTTTCAAAGATTTACTGGCCATTTTGAAAGTTCTTTTTCAAAGTCTTCTGCCAATTTTTCAATTGGGTTGCCTACCTTTTCCCATATTGATTTGCAAAAGTTCTTTACATTTTTAGGAAGCTTAGCTTTTCTAGGTTATACTTGCGGTATCTACATATTGTGCTACTCTATGGTTTATCTTTTCCACTCTTTTAATGGTATCTCTTATGAACAAAGTGTTTACTTTTAATGGACTCAAGTGTATTTATCATTTTCTTTTGACTAGTGTTTTTTTTGCTTTTGGGCTTACTAAGAAAAGTCTTGTAACATAAAGTTGTTCGCTCCTAAACTGACCTTCTGAAGTCTAATGACCCTTGCAGAATTCTGTCTGTTAGTGCTAAGTGACTCACTTGGGTGACTCTGGTTTGAGAATTCCTCCTCTGAGAACCAAGGCTCTTCTCCTTGCTCCAACCCGAAGATTACTTCTGGTTTGAAAACACAGTACCCTGTAAATAGGAAACAATCGAGGACTTAGGCCAGATATATGAGGCTTTATGGTCTACAAAACAGGAAGAAGATACAGCAGCATCCTGAAGGTACTCATTTGAATTTATCACTGGCAGTTGACAAAACATTCATCCTAGTCCTCAAAAGGGCTTGGTTACTTTAGACCTGAATGAAAAGCCTAAATAACATTAAACTTTAAATAAAGTGTCCATGTGTTTTGGTGCTTAATAAGGAAATGCCTTCTGTATGGAGTTACAAGGGAAAGTTATGCTTATATGCTCACCCACTGAGACCATGTGGCTGTCGTTCTCCAGCATCACATCTCTGTACAGATTCCTCTGAGCAGGGCCCATCTGCTGCCACTCCTCGCAGGTGAATTCCACAGTCACGTCCTCGAATGACACCGATGCCTGTAACAGTACATTTCTGTTCAATCTGAACCGTTCAGAATCAGATGACATAGAAAATACCCATGGAAAATAGTTTTTATCATGTTTACTATAAAGAGCTTAAAAGAAACAAATATAAAAGATGCCTATTTTGGATCTAATTTTGTACTTTGCAGGTACTCGGTAAAAATGTTTATAAGATTATATATATATACATATACTTATGAGTTATACACACATACTATCGATAGTAAAATTTTTTAATTCTTAATTTTATAGTCAAAAAATGTAAATAAACTTCCTGCAATTTTTACTCTCCACCCTAATAGACTACCCTGGACATACTCTAGGGTAGAGGTCAGCAAATTATGGCCTGTGGGCCAAATCTGGCTTCAATAAATAAAGTTTTACTGGAACACAGCCGTACGCAATCATTTTGCATTGCCTATGGCTGCTTTCGTGCTGAAATAGCACTGAGAAGTTCCGTCAGAGAACTTACGCCTATAAAAACTGAAAATATTTCCCACCTAACCTTTTACAGGAAAAATTTACCAACCTCTGGACCAAACAACCCAATTGAAGGAAAGACTGAGAGCATAAAAACAACAACAAAAGAAAACACATTTTATATATAGGAATCTATGATGATTGAAAGTAAAAGGATAGAAAAAGATATACCACGTAATCATTATCCAAAAGAAAGTTGATGTGGTTCCATTAACATCAAAAACAGTAGATTTTAAGGTAAGAATTATAAAAGGTAATGAGTAACAATTTATAATGGTAAAACGGTCCTTTCAACAGAAGATATAACAAACTGGTATGCACCTGTAAACAGCTTCCAAATATAACCATTTCTCATTATTCACAGATTACATGTTTGTGAATTCAGCCACTCACTGAAGTTTATTTGTAACCTCAAAATCAATACTTGTAGTTATTTTGCAGTCATTCATAGACCTCTACAGAAAGGCATTAATATAAAATTGGAGTTGCCTGACATGCATGTTCCCAGCTGCGATTGAACAAGGTACTGTTACGCATCTTATTTCAGCTCTACTACTGTAAACAAGTGTCCTTTTCTCAGTCTATTTAGTGCCACATTTATTGCATTTTCCTGCTTTTTCTTGGTGATTTCACGTTTTTAAACGGCCCACATTTATAGTGTTAAAGTGCCTGCCATCTAGTGTTCCTAAACACAAGAAGGCTGTGTTATGCCTCATGGAGAAAATACCTATGTCAGATAAGCTTTGCTCAGGCATTAGTTATGGTGCTGTTCACCATTAGTTCAGTGTTTATGCATCAACAATATTAAATAAGGTGTCTCTAAACAAAAAGACACATAACACAAGATTATATATTATGAAAATGTGACCAGAGGCTTGCTGGAACTTAACCCTGTATTTTCCCTCTGAGCAATAGTTTCAATATTTATTACTTCAGTGTTTGTAGTGACTTTATGGAATATTACTACTGAGAATAATGAGAACTGACTGTATGTAAATAAAAGTTGACAGAAATGAGATAGACAGATCTACAATCATAATTAGTGATTCTAATGCAACCCTGTCAGTAACTCATAGAAAAGTAGATTGAAAAAACCAATGGGGATATAGTACAGGAGTCAGCAAACCACAGCCCCAAAGGCCAAAACCAGCCCACCACTGTTTTTTAATAAATAAAAAACACCACCACTGTCAGTTTTTTTGTAAATAAAATTTTATTGGAACACAGCCACATTCGTTTATGTGTCACCCATGGCTGCTATAACATTATAACTGCAGAGTTCAGTGCTTGCAACTGAGACTGTATCTCCCACAAAGCCTAATATCTGATATTTACAGAAAAAGTTTGCTGACCACTGACATACAAGATTTAAGTGACATAACTAACCAACTTGACTGACACATACAGGATAACCTCTACATGACAATATTCCAGTGCCCTTTATATGTTAAACAAAAACCAGACAATATGTCTCACTAAAGTAGAAAAAATTACAATCAAGCAGCAGCACAGCTTTGGATCTTAGCTCAGAGATGTAGAGAGCTAAAAAGAGCAATGCTAACATCCTTACTAGAACATAGCTGGGAAAATTGAGAATTAGTATCTTTTTGAACTTATCATGAAAGAGATAGGCACCTGCAGGGACAATCAGGACCTGCTCATTCGTTTCCTGAAACACATGTTACCAAACTCCATGTAAGATAATTAGGAAGATGAAACTAGAAAATTTTAACAACTTGCTAAAAGCCAAGTGTGTGCTAGTATCAGTGTGCAAAGTCCCTGGGGGCCACTCACTGGGGGATTTCCACCTTGCTACAGGATCAACGGAAAAATCGAAAGAGAAATTAGAAAATACACTGAGACTACTGAAAATGAAAACTCAAAGTACAAAAATGTATGGGATGCCCTTAAAGCTGTGATTAGGGTAAAATTTATAGCTGTAATACCAACATTAAGAAAGATCTCAAATCAATAACCTAAAGTATACCTTAAGGAACTAAATAAAGGTGGTAATACTAATACTGACCCTGCAGAAATAAAAAGGACGGTAAAAGAATACAATGAACAACTGTACACCAACAAATTAGATAAACTAGATGAAAGGACAAATTCCTGAAAACACACAAACTACCAAAACTGACTCAAAAAGAAAGAAACGTCTGGATAGGCCCATGTGAGGAGACTGAATCAGTAATCAAAATCCTCCCTACGAAGAAAAGCCAAGAACACCTGGCTTCACTGGTGAATTCTACCAAACATTTAAAGAACTAACACCAATACTTCTCTAATTCTTCCAAAAATAGAAGAGGAGGGAACATTTCCTAACTCATTCTATGAATTACCTTGAACCAAAGCCAGACAAAAAAATCACTAGAAAACTATAGTTCAATATCCCTTATAAATATAGGTACAAAAGTTCTCAACAAAATACTAGCAAACCAAGTCCTGTGGCAAATACAAAGGGCTAAACACATGACAAAATACAATTGATTCCAGGAATGCAAGGTGGCTTACTATAAGAAAATCAATGCAACACATCACATTAAAGATGAAGGAAATAAATCACATGATTATCTCAAGTGTTGTAGAAAAGCATTTGACAAAACCCAACACCCTATCATGATAAAAACAAACATGTAACATAGTAGTAACAGAAAGGAGCTTCGTCAACACAATATAAAGCATTCTGAAAACCCACAGCTAATATCATACACTAGGTAAAAGACAGGAAGGTTCCCTCCAAAGATCAGGAACAAGACAAGGATGCCTGCTTTTGTCATTTCTATTCATGGTACTGGAAGTTCTAGCCAGAGTGAACAGGCAAGGGAAAAAAAGCATCAAATTGGTAAGGAAAAAGTGAACTATTCATAGACCACATGATTCAATGTATAGAAATTACTAAAGAATCCACAAAAAAAGTATTAAGAGCTAATAAATGAATTCAGAAGTTTTAGGATACAGGATGAACACACAAAAATCATTTGTATCTCTATACACTACAAATGAATAACTGAAAAATTAAGAAAACAATACCATTTACAATAGAGTAAAAAAATAATAAAATACTTAGGAATAAATTTAACCAAGGTGCATGACTTACATATGAACACTAGAAAACACTGCTAAAAGGAATTAAAGAAGATCTAATAAATGAAAAGACACTCTATGTTCACGGATAGGAGGATTTAATATTGTTAAGATGGCAATACTCCTAAAAATGATCCACAGATTCAATGACATTTGCATTAAAATCCCAATGGCCTTTTTGCAGAAATCTTGATTGTACAATTTACACGAAATACATCGGACCCTAAATAGTCAAAACAATATTATTAAAAAGGAATGAAGTTGGTGGGATCACACTTCTTGATTTCAAAACTCACTATACTATGATGCAACACTAATGAAGACAGTGTGGTACTGGCATAAATATAGACATAATTATATGTGGTACTGGCATAAATACAGATCTATGGAATAGCACAGGGAGCCCAGGAATAACCCATACATCAACCATTTATTAGGAAAGTAATTTTTCCAACAAATGATGCTGGAATAATTGAATAGCTGTATCAAAAGAATGAAGTTGGACTTCAACCTCATATTAAAAAATTACCTCATAATGGATCAAGAACCTAAGTAAAGAGCCATAAACTACAGAACTCTTAGAGGAAATCAGGAGTAAACCTTCATGACCTCGGATTTGGTAATGGTTTCCTGGATATGACACCAAAAGCACAAGAAACCAAAGAGAAAATAAAGTGGACTTCATTGAGATTAAAAAGTTTTGTGCATCAAAGGATACTATTAAGATAGTGAAAAGACAACCCACAGAATGGAAAGAAATATTCACAAATCATATATTTAATAAAGGTCTAGCAGCCAGAATATATAAAGAACTCATAACTGAACAACAAAAAGACAACCTAATTAGAAAATGGGCAAAGGACTTGGATAGACATTTCTCCAAAGATGATAAATAGCCAATAAGCACAGGAAAAGATGTTGAACATCATTAATCATCAGTGAAATGCAAATCAAACCCAAATGATACACCATTTTACACTCACTAGGATGTCCATAATTTAAAAAAAAAAAAAAAGGAAATAACAAGTGGTGATGATATAGAGAAAAGAGAACCCTAATATACTGCTGGTGGGAGTGTAAAATGGTGCATTTTCTGTGGAAAACAGTTTGGCAGTTACTGAAAAAGATAAATGTAGAGTTACTATATGACTCAGAAATTCATTTCCAAGGTTTATTTCTAAAAGAAAACAGGTGTCCACACAAAAACTTGCAAAATAAACGTTAATAGCAGCACTAGTCCTAACAGCAAAAAGGTAGAAACAACCCAAATGTTCATTACTTGATGAATGGATACA